ACACACACACACACACACACACACACACACACACCACACACACACGCACACGCACACACACACACACACACACACACACACACGCACGCACACACACACACACCACACACACACACACCGCACACACAAAAACAAATAACAAATGGGGGAGTTGCTCAGGCAGGAGCCCCAAACGCAGACCTGCCCCAGGGCCCCGCCCTCCCCACCCCCGCCACCCACCCACTAGAAGCTGGCTCGATGGACCCCATGGCCGAATTGAGGATTTGTTGGCCTGATCGTTGGCTCACGCTGCTCGGTCTGAGCTGATATCTGGGGGGTACCGCGCTGTTCCCCCTCCCATTGGTAGCATCCCCCATCTTGTCTTCCTTGTGCCGTGCAGTAGTGACGTCTATGTCCGCGTTTGCCCTGGCAACATAATTGTGTCGGTGTCTGCGCAGCATTGAGAAGTGAACCGGTCGTAGCGTGAGCAACTGAGCTGGCGCTGTTCCTCTCGCTGCGAGCCGTCGTCTCAGGCCCTGGTCGCGGCAAGCGCCTTCGGGGGGGGGAAATCGTCGTCATTCTTCTCCTCGCCATCCAGGATCCTCGCCCTCAGCGCATTCGATTGACGCGTGCCTGGGCTGCTGCTCGTGCTCGTGCCCGACGCCCCCCCCCCCCCCCCCCCCGCACATGCGCTGGTGCTCTCCTCTGGCTCGGTCCACTTCGACGGGTCCTTCTGCTGCCAGCCGAAGCAAACCCACGCACTCGTCTGAATCATCAGCACCTCCTTCCCATTCTCCTGCACAAGCTGGGCCTGTTCGTCACTCCGCGACTCCGCGTAGCCCTTGTCTGCGTAGTACTCGGTATCTTCGTGAATCTTCTCATACAGCATGCTGAATGGAGGAGGGAGAAGAGGAGACTCCGTCTACGTTACTGGGGAGACTCCTGGGAAGGAGACGCGACGCTGTCTACGGTAATGTAATTTCCTCGTCCTCCTCCTCCTGTAGGTATTGATGGTGGTATGCGGAAGTCAATGTTTGGGTTCGTTGGTGTTGCTGGTCGGTGTTGGTCGGTTTGGTTGTCTGTGGGCGTCGCTGATGGTGAAATGCGGGCATATTTGCTGGTCGGTGTCGGTTGGTCTGGTTGTAGAGGTTGGTGATCGGTGGTTGAGCTGGTCGGTTGGTCACTGGTCGGTGCTGTTCGTCTGTGGAGGTCGCAATTGGTCACTCTTGGTCGGTCCGGTTGTCAGTGGTTGGGTTAGTCGCTTGGTCACTGGTCGGCGCTGGTGGTCTGTGTTGGTCGCTGCCATTCGCCTCTGATGGTCTGCTGGTCGGCGGTGGGTAGGTCTGGTGGTCGGTGTTTGGGCTGGTCGGCGTGTCTGGTCGGTGTTGGTGGTCTGCGAAAGTCGTTGCTGGTCAGCGCTGGTGGTTTGAGGCGACCTGTGGAGTTTAGCGCGTGGTCTGGTTGGCGCTGCTGGACGGTCGCGGTTGGTGCTGCTAACGCTGCCAGTATGTGGTGGTACTGGTGTGGGTCTCTGGTCGGTGTTGCTGGTCCGTGGTGGTCTGCTGTGTTCTGTGTTTGGGCTGTTGTGGGCTGTTGGTCGGTGGAGGTCGGTGCTTTTGGTGTGATTCGTGTGTCGGTGGTGCTGGTGTTGGTGGGTCCTGGTCGGCGTTGCTTGTCAGAGGTGGTCTGTGTAAGTCGGTGCATGGTCTGGGTGTTGCTGCTCGTCGGTCGTGGTCGTGATTGTTGGTGGTTTTGGTCGATAGTGCTTGCGTGGGCGCCGGCTGTCGTCGTTCGGTTGTGGCGTGCACAGCGCCAGGATTAGGAAGCCGTGGACCCTCAGGCGGGTGGGGCCATCGTTCGCGAACATGGTCAGGCAGTGCTCGGAGGTGTACGCCTTTATGCAGACACGGTTCCTCAGAGTCCTGCGACAGGGGTCCGAATATGTCCTGAGAGGCGGTCGGAAAATAATGGTTCATGTTTGAGTCCTGGAGGGTCCAACAAATTACCCGCGATCCGTCAGTGGGTCGAGGTTGAAACGTGTGCTATTAGGGGGCCACGTGCGAACCCTACCCCTGTCCCCCACGACTTCTGAAGGAGAGGATGGGGTTCGCACGTGGCCCCCTAGCTATGGATCTGGTGCCAAACGGGCTCCCGGATTCTGATATGCCCCCCCCTCCAGTCTGGGTGGGAAGCTGGGGTCGATGGTCATTGCCCGTGTCGTCACATGGCATGCTTGACCTGGTCCCCGTCTCCGCACGTTTCGAATTATTCACCTCGGCAATGATCCCCGTATTCCAAAATATTATGACCGACTATTCTTCGAAGCCCTTCTCCATCAGGTGATGTTTGACCTGGCCCAGAGCCTTGTCAATGATCCTTCTCTCGATCGCGCTGTTGTTTGTGAACCACATGGTTTCCCCACACTGCCACTTGACTGTTCCCCCCTCATCTTCTTGAAGAAGCCTCGCTTGGCAGAATCACTAGCACAATGCCAAACTCCGATTTTGGCTGGGTCGAGGAAGGTCGAAAGTTTCACAATCCTGTCCTTCACCCCGCGTTCCTCCACAATGCCTTGGATCTGCTTGATGATGTGGTCCTCTTCTTCCTCCTCCTCCTCCTTCAGGCCTCCGCTTGATGATGTGGTCCTCTTCCTCCTCCTCTTGCTAGGAGGTGGAGGAGGAGGAGGAAGAGGAGGGAGGAGGAGGAGAGAGGGGGAGGAGGGAGAGGAAAAATCGAGGATGGAGGAAGAGGTGAAAGAAAGGGGAAAGCTCTGTTCACCGGATTCGGTGTCTTGTTGAAGTGGGTTCGGGGCCTTGAGCTTCCTCCCGTCCCCCTCCCATCCTTCCACCACCTTTCTGCAGACGAGAGGAGGAATGGAAGGGAAGGGAAGGGGGAATCACGAGACTACGAATCCGCATGGACAAGACACCGAATCATAAGAACAAAGCTGTCGCAAATAGCAATGGGTGAAACTCTGCGCCGGCTGATTAGGGCGGGGAGAGGTTGGCTGCGCATGAAGCGGGGGAGGGAAGTAGAGAGGGGGGGGTAAAGTTGGGGGAACCGATCGGATGATAGGCGGGTGTGCCCTTTTGGAACCCTGGGGTGGTGACGAGCACCCCAGGGACCGCGGCACGGCACTCCCCCTAAACCGATCAAGCCCATCAGGGCATGGGGAGGAGGAGGAGGAGGAGGAGGAGAAATAAGAGGAGATTCAGAGATATGGTAGAACAAAAAAAGTAGAAAAGGAGGATAAAGACGATAGCGAATAACAATGATGTATTCGCATAAATAGATGTCATCTCTCTCTCTCTCCCGCTCTCTTTCTCGTTCCAGCCGCATGCAAAACTTGAAGGGCCAAGGTGCCTGGCACGAAACGCCATTGCAGTCTTGTGTATTCGTACGAATATGCGTATGCACACATATACATGCACACAAAAACGATTGTACACGCTAGAACCAGCGCAGGGGGATTCGAATGCGCTCAAGTTCTGGCCAGCATGGTAACGCAGGCGTCTTACGGTAGGCGCGCTGTCCTCTGCGAGGCTCGCGACTACGTGGAGCTACTTCGGCCGAGCAGTCTGTGGAAAACCACACGCGACCTGAGGTCGGCTGTGGTTCCCAGTAGCTGTCCTTCCAAAGACCACCGCTGAGCATGCTCTGGCTCGGGTGTTGCGTTGGGAAGGCGGGTGGGAGTGAGCTAGACGGCTTGCGGGCGGGTGCCCAGGCGACTGGGAGCCAACCCGAGACCATGCGGGCCCCCCCACACCATCCCTTGTAAAAAAAGAATACGAAACACACTCTGCCTCGAAATTCGGAGCATGCGCAGCGAACCCGATGCGGCCATCCCTGTCCAAAAACAATACAGAGTACACTTGGCGGCGGCGGCGGCTGCGG